ACACACACACACACACACACACACACACACACACACACACACAATATATATATATATTATTTATTATATATATATATATATATATATAATATATATATATATATATATATAATAAATAATAAATATATATATATATATATATATATATATAATCTATATCCATATCTTTATCTATATATACATATATACATATATACATATACAAAACAATTTTCCGAATTCGACAGAGTCATTGTAAATGTACTACAAACGTGACCTATATCGTGCTGTTGTATACGTACTCTTATTGTGTAGAATATTTCTGATAAATTGAATAATGTTTACACGTAGGCGAAGCAATTGAGATTGCGCAAGGTGCACTCTTCCTGGCGTCTGACGATGCATCGTATGTCACGGGTACAGACTTCATGGTGGATGGGGGTTTGCGAGCTGCATATGTCACTCCGGTAGGAGAGACCAAATCCATTCCACCCAACTCGAACAGAGAGTGATACGTTGAAAACATACCCAGCACCTTGTAATATGAACGAGTCAAACTGATGATATACCATCGTTCAGTAGCATTGACCAGATTAATTTCGCCGAACTCGGTACTGGGAGCGGTACTCTGAATATATATTTCGACATAACACGTCAAAAAATGTCAATATAAACTTGTACATACCATTATTTAAAATTGCGATACCTATGCATATACGCTGCATGCAGAATCCAATACATAGTGTATGCAATGTTTGCATAAATGATATGCCGTCTTCATTTAGTACTCGTGAGGTAAAATACAATTCGTTGGATTGATCCAGTTAGTGCATAAACGACCAAATTGTACCGATGGGCTTCTCTAAGATTTGCTTTTATTTACTATGTTCGCACTGTGTGTCCATAATGTTCTCGTAAGATCCATTTACTCTATATCTAAATTCGGTTCCATTTTGGTAAATGATCCTGGAACTTGATGACACATTTATCTCGATGCAAATTAACCTATACATTGTGCTTTGATACATCTAATCATCAAGGCTGCTGTATGTAAGGCATTCGTATGACAGTCATCAACCTCAAACGCTTCTTGCGTGAGTGCTCCATGCTTCAAACTCTCACCACTGACATCGTAAATTCGCAGTGTGTACCCATCATACTAGTATGACTGTGTTTGACCTATACGTGCGTTAAGCCGGCCCTGCGCAGTCTGTCGAATCTTTAGACTCGTTGTTCTGTGACGAACTTGACACTAGTAGCAGTGCTAAGCTCCTGTGGACGATATAACTCGCGCGACTTAACATACTGCAAGATATAGCAACAAGCTACTAGCATCTTCTCCCGTCACCCATGGTGTCATACTACCCACTACTTCAGCATACAGACGGCTCAGTGTAGTCTATCGAACCCATGAGCCCACTGCTTTGTGACGAACTTGACACGAGTAGCAGTGCTAAGCTCCCGTGGACGAGATAATTCGCGCGACTTAACATACTGCAAGATATAGCAACAAGCTACTAGCATCCCCTCCCGTCACATATGGTGTCAAACTACTCACTATTTCAGCATACAGACGGCTTATATATATATATATATATTACTGTTGTCTATCGAACCCATTAACTCACTGCTCTGTGACGAACTTGACACGAGTAGCAATGAGCTCCAGTGGACGATATCACTCGCGTGACCCTGACACCTCCGAAAATATAGGCACGTAGCCGCCAATCCCCCCTCTTCAGCCCTTGTGGAAAATACTCACTCGGGTGTGCCAAACTAACACGTACAAAACCTTAAGTGCCGACATATATTGGGCGGGTATTCACAAATAGGGAAATGAGTGAGGCAATTCGCAAGTGTGTATGTGTGATTGTTTGGGTAGAGGTGGCGCGCCGGGGGGCTGGGGGGGTTGGTGGGAGTGGAAGGAGGAGGTGAACCAACCTTGTACATCTAGATTCTCTACTGATTGGCATCCAATATCAAGCACTTATGCGATCGTACTCCTAGCACCATCATACATAGTTGGAAAAAGCCTAGAGAGCTATGGCGAAGCTCTACACTTTGTGCGAGGTTTCCTACAGACCAGCGGTTGCGTATTTAACTATCACAAGAAACTGCAATCACGCCCAACCGCTAGGCGCTTCGCTTTTCGCGTGCATCTCGCTCGCAACAACGCTGCCCACAGACGTCATTGACTCACTCTGCATTGACTCACTCTGGTCAGGAGTAATAAGCATCTCCAAATCTTCTAGGTTGAAAGTCTTCATGGTATGCTTGAAGAACTCGTAAACGGACCAACAGATTGCCGTTGAGGGTATGTGGAAAAGCATGCGCGCTTGCACACCCCTTAGGAACCCTTTGTACCCATGGAGGGCATATACGTCGCGAGCAGCATTCCACATGCCCTGCGTTGCCCTACCTTGATGTTCAAATCTACTTTCTTGTGTATTCAACGTCGTCTTCAGTACATCTATGCGGGTAGGTGTTCATAGATGAGTGTATGTCAGAGCTTGATTCGACCGTACGTAGTACATCGCATAGCTCATAGCCATGACCAAGTTCATATGCAAGAGTAATACGTTGCAATTTCCGAAGCTTGTAAACATGTCTGCGACCGATATAATAGTTTCAACGTATACGTTACGCGGTGTGGAAATACACAAGGTCAGCTAGCAATATGAATGCAACAACGGCCTTGAAATGACTGATTGTGGTGGGGTAACCGTCCAGGGGGGACTGTCTGTCATATATATATATATATACACATACATACTGAGCTATACAGGCCAAAATCTACCGCGTGGAATCTGACATATCTAGAAGAGCTGTAGTAGCTGCCGCTATAGTGTAAATGCAACAGTAGACGCTACAGACATGTATTGTGATATTCGCTAAGGAGCTAGTCATGTATTATAGAAAGCTTTAAGTCAATCACTACCGTACGAGAATTGACAAATTTAAGGAGTTAGGAGAGCTTACAAATAAATTGAGCCATATCCGTCAAAATCCACAGTTTTTAAAATGACACATTTAGACAAGTTATATAACCGCACAGTAGAAGTTGGGCATCATGTACCGTTTCAGATCTGCCATACCTAAGGGAGTTGTCACAGCTGCCGCCATTGCGCCCGCTGAACCTCCGGCGACGACATGACTTAAGGGATTGTACGTATCTGAATTCCAAGCAAAGGTGATTCAGCGTGGTCAGATTTCGGATAATGAGAGCTTAGCGCTTAGCTGTCATATGTTGATTAACGCATCTCAAAACACTCGAAGATAATGACAACAACAGTATATACGGCGCATAGTTCTCTTATCTGCCTGCCAAGTGTGTATACTTCAAGTGAGATAGTTTGCCTATACAACTCTCACACCTTAACCACGATACACTAAACGACTCTATTACTCGTTCCAGGTACATATTTGCATACTACAAAAAAAAAACCAGATTGAAATCACATCCACATACCATCTGGGTTTATTAGGTGGCGTATGTTTTCATAGGCCGAGAAGTGTATGACTTGGAAAGGGACATTCATACTCAGTTGCGTCGGCAAAGAGCGGTAGAAAGCTCTGGGCCCCTCTTGCTTCCAAACCTGGATTAAAAGACAAATGGATGATCTTTACGATTCAGAATCAAGGAAATGGAGGCGCATTGAACACACGGAGCAGGAAGGTCGCTGACATCATTTCCTTTGATATATACTACGTAAAATGACGAAATCTTACATTATGCTTACTAGAGCAGAATTTTAGCTCCGTATAACAACATACTTCACAATACAAAGACAGGCAGGCAGCTCTCTTTAAACTCTTTGCAAAATTTTGTATCTGCAGTAGCCCTGCGGCGACTGACCGTACAACATACACAACCTCATCACGGAAAGTATACACATTAGAGGTAACCAAAGTTTCAGTGTGCTTGACATTACTAGCAAGCTCTGTCTTTGATCGATAATCTTCACAATGTAAAAAAAAACCGAAGAAACTATTGCACACTCGTGATATATCAGCCTAGCACCGTGGCACCTCCTGGCTATTTTCAACTTAGCGCGTATTGATATCAGTGCGATTGGGTACAGGGTACATGCTTAATATACGAAATAACAGATATTGAATTGCAGGTCCCGCATACTACTACCAGAGTAGGTGTCACTGCTCAATGAGAGACCGCACTAAATTCTTTGACTTCCGACGATCTATGCATACATACACATATTATACATATATATCTATTGACTAGGTGCTTCTGCCATCAGATATTCATGAATTGCTTACGATAGAAGATGGCTAAAATAGAGCTAAATAGCAATCGACTCACATTTCCAAAATATGAACCAATCACCACCGACGATATACGAGTATACCGCAAATTTAACAAAGAAAATGTGCGCGAAATCGCATCAAAGGCATGCCCTTATGTGATTTGGCAGAAAGACACGCAATGAATGTAAACTACAAACCAATACCAATGCCAAACCGCAAACATATGCGCGCGCGACTATCCATGTGAGGTACGATGCAAATTTGAACGACAAGTGTGCATGTATATGTGCTTTAACTATATATATATAAATACATGCATAATAATAATAACTCCATATACAATAACGTGGATAGCCACAATCTAAAGGTTCACAGCATGCATGTCGACGTCCATGACAAGATTAACAATACTACAAAACAATCATGTACATAAAAACATCTCAGTACAACCACCATTTCACATGTCGTGATCTGTACTCAGCAACGCGAGCCAAATGGGTTACAATGACAAGGAATGCTATGAGCAGTACATTCAAGTAATCTTTGATGTTGTTTATGGAACGTCTACACTCGGATATCCATGTACAAACGAACGAGATTCAAGCGTTATATATAGATATCGAAGTCCATTTTGAAAGAGCTGACAAAACAATACTCAAGCAAATTTCGACGCTATAGTCGTGAACACGTACATAGTTGGACATACTTCTCGAAAGACGTGCGACGCCGAAGTATATGGACTGCTGTGCATCTGTAGTCGCTGCTTGATCATCTCAAAGGGTGTCATGAAGGAGTCATGCAAAAATGTTGCCGCCAAACCTACGAACAAGGATTTTATACGATATCAGTGGATGCAATATTGATCTACGAAAGAATTACGTAGGAGTCATATATACATTAATGGAACAACGTTAATTGGCGTTATGTATAGATATAGAACAATTGCAATAAACAATGGGTTGCGCAATAAGAAGATACATATCGTCAGTAATGCACAGCCAATTTTATAGAACAAGTGAAATTCGCTATGGAAGGGCACTTGCTAAGGCATGCAGTGTATATTTCAAGGCACTTCATGCGTCCGTAACGATTGGGTTATTCCAATACATAATCTATTTCACCCGAGCGTGTAAACAAGTATGTAAAGGAAGGTCGCACTAAGCATGCAGTAATATCCTTGCTGAATGACAAGCCAGTAGACTAATCCATAATGTATATGTATGTGTGCGCAAGCGAGTACTTCAGAAAACGTGCATTGATATCTTTAATATATATGTGCGCGCCTGTGTTTATCTCAGTATGTGTGTGTACATACGAAAACCATTGAACGATCTGTTTACAGCACCATACCTGCGGGAACTCCGACCATCGGATTCGTGTCTGGCTTGCCCGTGTAATTGCTGATAGTTGTTTTGACCATTTCATACGAACCAAAGTATATGGCATGCGCCGGGCCAGCACCTAAGGCGACTGCGTTTACACCTTTGAACGTGGAAAGAAGTCCCTTTGAATTCCGTATCGATCGTATGGCTCCTCCAAATGAATTATAAAGCCCCTGAGTGGCAGGTAGCGAATAGGAAACCAAGTACATAGAATAGCATGAGAAAGCAAAAAGCCATGTATGCGCTGTGGTGCTAAAGTATGTACAATACCAGTCGTATTTGTGAGCGAGAGAAATAAATACACATACGAAACGTAAATTACACCACATCCGGGTGATAGATCTTGTATGTAGACGGTGTGAATTTTCAAGTACGCACATTCCGACTCATCAATCTCATCAGAAAATAGATATTTCACCTATTATAATAAGACATATCTGATAATATTTGAAATAGCATACATTGCCAAACAAGATCCCAAGACAGAATGCAGCAACATCGGCAGATTACGAGTGTCAATTCCTTCGGGCTCAACCGAAGAAAATATCAATTTAGTGACGGGATGCATATACAAAAAATTAAATAGCGACTGTAGTGACCGAAAAAAAGCAACATACCTTCGCCGTTGGATTTAGTGACTGCATTTTTGTCTTAATCGAGTCTATTGGGTACACTGTACAGTGCTCCATAACACCGGCCATTGCCCCTGCTGCCATGTGTATGTGCAGGTTAGAGGTAGGCAAGTACTCGTATTCTTCTCCTGGTTCCATCTTGATGATCAATAACTAACACTAACCGTCGTTCAATACTAAAACTGCCTAATTAGGGATATGTCTCTTTGTTATTTTTGTTTTTTAAAGACAGCAGTGCACTACTGCACTCGCACTTATAATGTACATATGTATGTATAATATCTATTTTAATATATTTTAATTTTATTACATTATCATCCTTTATAACACGAGAGATAATTATCAAATGCACATAGCCACATACATAGGGCATTTTTAATTTTATTCAATGATCTGCATGTCGGACATGTCCAGTTGTCCACGCTCCACACTCCAAGGAGTCCAAACTCCACCGTGACCAGACGACCAGAGTCAGAGTGTCCACAGTTCTGACTTCACAGTTCTGACTTCCGAGGTCTACATACACAAAAAGGATAGTCAATGAGTCAATCAGTCAAACCCCGAACCCGCCAACCGGTGACTATCTGGTGTCTGACAAGCATGTTTGGTGGTATGGTGGAGTAGCATTTGCTCTTTTCGTCACACCCATTTGGAAAAACAAATTGTTGATTAGTCTATATTTATATTATTTTAGCGATAGTCTATTGATGAAATAAATTAATATACTGTACTATTGGAGAAAACATTCCGCTCAGATTTAATGCCCTGCTAGAAAGAGCAAATAAAACATTACTAAAGAACCATTGGATAATTTCTATTTAGATAAACTAATGAAAAACGGATACGGAATAAAATTTCTGTATGTAATTGTATTATGATATCACGCGGTAATTTGAACTCTTGATGTGTTGTGTGTATGAGAATGACTGTATATGGTTAAACGCTATGTAATCTCAGTTTGTTTCTCGTTTTTTACGTTTTTAAAAATCAACAGTTTATGATCTACAAATAATACAATTCAGGCCAGCATTGGCTCTTGGTTTTGGGCCCAAAATACAGGAGGGGGGGGGGGATAACAAATTACAATATCGGTATTGAACTCTAGTTTTGTCCTAGTTTGGGATATATTCTCAAACCCTAAAATTGTCGTAATTGAAAAATATATTGTTTGATATTTACAAAGTGTTTAGGACTGTAGTATAGGTCTACTAGAGCTCGAGTTTTTTTCAATCGTTTACCAGGTATTTTAGTTTGCGGTACACGGTATAGTGGGCGAATATGTATTATATTGGGTCAAAATGTGCCTATATGTGTACAAAATTTAAGAAAGTGCAAAATGCACCAAAAATACAAAATTACAGGGAGGAGGGGGGGCAACCCTAAAAAAAAGTAGCACATACGAACCGCATAACTGTATTTCAAACACTGCGTGTATTTCTCGACTCCTCGAGTGAGCGGATCATCCTTTTTACGTTCAACGTATACTGCAATGTGGGCAAAACAAATTGACTCGACACTGTGAATCTGTGACAGTGACGACACATAAAACACAAAAAAATTGAATCACACATGCGACAAAATACTAAAATGCTCTATATACAAGCAGTGCTGCTCTTCCTTTTATCCGGCTTTTTTTGAGCTTCTGCAATCAGCACTCCCCAGCAGGAGTTGATGCTGCGTAATCTACACTTACACGGCTACTGCTACATGCATGCTAGTTATAATTCAATAGCAGCGTGTATGTCTATATTATAGGAACAATGCAATCACTGTGTCTATATACCTTAGAAACAGACCTGATCGCAACAGTTTGAAATTGTACCGCACATGGAAGGTAAAACTCTACCAGTACTCGATAGCCTTGCGTTGCAGGAGCGATGCTAGATGATGATGGGAAATCGTCTATAGGTTGTCACGAATCTGATTTTAACAGACCATCAGCGTCATGACTGTCTTGTTCCGCTGTTCTTTGTAGTTTGTATGACGTGTATTGTTTATCCACTTTTTAGTACTGTATTCACGCGGCAATATTAAATCACTGCACTAGTAGTTTGCAAAGTTGTTGGTCGCATTTATCCGGTCGCTATAAAGTATACATAATTATGAGTGGAGAGCAAAACCAAGACTGGGTAGTGTATGATAAGACCACAGATGACGAAGACTGTTTCTTCGAAGCGTTCAGACCTACAAGACTATGTGGCCGAGGGATCGACTGGGTGCTTGTGAACGCTGTATGCGGTGACTGGTAAGTGAGTAGGAATCTTCAGAGGCTGTTTAAATATGAGTCACTTTGGATTTAGAGGATGGAATGTATGTACTGGTGAGTTTTCTTTCTTTCAATATGGTTAGTATCAAGTTCAAGCTTGCTGAATCCAGTCTTGCCATTCGCATGAATGCTTTCAGAGTGCTTGCTTGTAGGCAATTTTTAGATCGTACGGAACAGTGTACAATTCCGTGAATGCACGGACATATATTTGAGTACATACGAAGACCTACACATTTGTATAATGATACACACATATACGCAATTGTGCAATTTCCTACACAACACTTATGCACATGTGCACATGTATACATATATCACACACATGGCATACTACTTTGCCTCGACTACACCGTTCGTCGCTACAAGAGGCCCTGCTGGCCGAGTGAGTCGCATGATGTTTTACTTACAAAGTAAAATATGCAAACGTGTGCGAATAAAACGCGTCCTTACTCATGTGTGCATGTACATATACACACCACATACTCACGGCACACTCCAGCACCTCTTCTACACCGTTCGTCACTGGAAGGTTACAAGAGGCCCTCCAGGCTGAGTGGGTCGCACGCCAAACAAGAATCCTCGAGGAACCAGCCACAGGTGAGATAGCGAGTAGGCTAGGTTTAATGTTCGGATCACGGCAAAGGTGTATCTAAAAGTTGCGGAATGAAATAAAGGTTAAAAAAATATCACTGTTTTATTTCTGGACTCGACACATTATGCCATATTTACCGTGTAAGAGACTCTATTAGAGTCAGTCGCAAGGAACAGTTCAAAAGTTCAACGTATACACAGTAAGGAGTGGGTGAGAAAGTCCGGTATAATTTTGCTCAGGCTAGCAAGGTAATGAGAGCTATCCTTTACCTACTGCTCTTTCGTACAAACCCAGATGGTGTGCAAATAGCACCAAGAAGTCAGAAGCTGGAACTTGAACAATTACGGAGGCAGCAAAAGCACACAGAGTGTAGCAGCAGCAAGAGTACTCAAAGCCTGGAGGAACATAGAGATACCTCGCGAGTGTGGTACAAGCACAAAGGACGACTACGTAAAGGTAAGCGGTCGCGGATGAACTTTTGGGGCATACTTGGAAGTCTTGTAGTCGAATTAGTTCTTCCAGAATGATGAGATGTAGGTTGTACATATAAGAGAACAAATCACATATGTCATAATCATTAGTGATACTTGCAAGAAGTGATAATATGCATTAAACATTGAATTTATGTGCACAGAAATGGACTCTTTGGGAGAAAAGTTCAATTGCAAAGAAGGCAAGTTTGTCATCTTTGCGCCTGAGGTAAGTGGCGTGTTGGCCTGCATATCGGACAGCTATCACAAGCACTTCCAACACACTCTGCACGCAGATCATATACACTACCACACACCACAGAAGCTATGCACATAGCAAAACATCATGTAGCGCGCATAAATCACAACACACTCCACACTCAATTACACACACGGTCAGCTTCATGCATAATAAGCTCACAGTACACATACCGACCATTGTTCACGGTTCATACAACATAACATAATCGACCAATTCACGTGTACAACCAAGCAGCACCGCACATAATCCAGCCATGTAGCAACGGACAACATGTATTCGCGCGCAGCACAATACGTTGAAGCATACGCACACGTTTTACTAGATCGACCCATCAAGGGACACATGAGAGAGGCGCATGGAATTTCCTGCCGCGTGCGCTTCTGTTTGTTATCGACCTTTCGAGTCCTCTCCTACTACCAGCAGGATGCAGACTTTATCTGGATGCAGATCATACGGGCGACGCTAGATAATAGGTAAATGCTACATGCACTGCCGCATACCTCTTCAAATTCTCCGGGTTGTAGTAGTTTAATATCTGCTTGTGCTTGCGTTGAGCGTCACTGCTACATTGGACCTATCGCTATCTCGTCATGTCTCTAACATACTCATCAAAGGTTTTCGACCGAATGGCATATCTCGCGATATCTGGGTGTCTTTGTTCGTAAATACTGTGCAGCAAAATAAACTACGTCTAACTGATGTCATCGTACAAACACAAACACTCAGGTTGGGAACGAGAGCACGTACTCGCAGTACTACGGGCGCCGACAAGTCGCGTCCACCAGGAAGAAATGGACTCGAAACTGTTGGTAGAAACACTTTTCGGGATGACGGGAAGGTATTTATAATTGAGGTTTATAGCGCTAATTACCTCGATTTGGAGGACGCGGCAAGAGTGCGACAAAGACTCAGTGAAATGAAAATCGGCATCGACATTGCATCCTTATCATACAAGCCCGAGATATACTCTCAGTTGGGTATATACTCTAATAATCGGTGGGGTCTCCCACCCACTAGACCCATATATGTATCTAAATACATTAAATGAATAGAACCAACACCGAAATCTTCAATTGAGACTTTTCGATCGCACGGTTACATGTATACGGGCTAGACCTATTGGCGGCATCGTTTCAGCAATACATCAGCAATAGATTTCTGGGCGGCGATTTTGCGGCAAGCCACCCTCGTCCACTTCGAGATTTGGTCACTTTGCGGTCTAATCGGTTCAAACCTATCTGCCGCCCAATCTAGCACTTCACAAGCATCTCTCTGCATTAAACACATGCGCAAGACTTGATATCCTCGTATACATGTATCGTAACGAAGTAAGTTACACCCACTTTTGCTTCTAACTACGATGTGATCAATCGCCGACTATTTTCGTGCTAGACATGGTATATTCTGCCACATCTACTATTATACAACTAGAGGATTCGTCAATAAATAAGGAGGCAGACAACACGCACAATATTGTACTGAGCTATGACGGGTACGGTGCCGAGAACATCCACCCATGTCTCCCACCTTCCGTACGTTTTATGGCACGAGTGAATGGCGTCCATTGCCCTTTGCACGTGCACACGCAGCCCCCATGAAGCACGCTCGTCCCTTGATTGTACGTGAGAATGGCTTCAGATGAGACTGGCGAGAGTTGTGCATCTGGACCGCACGAATACTGTGGCCTTACGGGACGAGCATGCCTCCTGACGTACGATGCTGCCGTAAGTCTCCGTCTATGCTAGATATGCGGACATGAACTTTCAACGCGTATGCTTGGATGAACGCTTCCTCCTGACGAGTACCTACAAGATATCGAAACCTGTGTATGCGCCACTGTACTGCAATATGGTATCGGCATACTATGAATCAGCGTCCATAACGGTGGGCGAATTATCGCCATCAGGAACTGGTACTGCTAGCTTGTCCATGGTTGGTTCTGCGTCTGACTGTTTCGCGGCTGCTAGCTTCGCGTCTGTTCTGTGCAGCTCCTCCGCTTCCTTAATCAAATTCAGAAAGTGATCGCGTTCACCGGGATAGATCTCGTCCATCGACTGGCTCAGCGTTTGTTTGAAGGTAGCGTACGCATCCACTTTGGCGGTGGTGTTCTTCAGATTGGCCTCTGCGCTTCGCACCACTTCGCTGGTGTACAGGTCGGGATTCCAGTCGTGGTCTATGCACCTGAAGGCATACACATGCATTGGAATAGATACATGCATAAGTTTAGGATGAGAATATATACCTGAACGTATGCATATGATCACTTACATAAATCCTCTATTTAAAGCTAATACAAAGCGTTTTCCGATATGAAACACAGCTGCCTAATGCGGCAACGTCATGGCTACAGTCATGCGCAAGCGAGCAGCATATTCGGATGTGTCTGCGATCTTGCGACAATTGATTAAGCTAGTTGAGTGCGATACCGGGTAGACCCCATCACCCACCATACGTGTAAAGTGAAGACATCGTGGCATACAAGACATCCCCCTTTAGTAGATATCTGAAGACCGCTCCGTAACAAAAAACTCACCCGAAGACATCAAGGGGAAACTGAACATTCACATCTTTGTTCTGGTCGATTGTCTTCAAATGCTCAAATACCTTCCCCCTGAAAAAGAAAAAGACGAAAATACAAGCAGGTCATCAGATAGCAAGTAAGACATACGAGACCGTGCCAGACTGTGCTCGTCACACAGTGCACTTCTACCTTACGGAATTTTAGTGCATATAACCTGATGCTACGTCAATAGAAGGTGAAAACTAGCCTGAGTGATAGCATACGCCTTCTACACGACTATTGCGAAACGGAACATCCTAGAATTTGGTTCGGATTATGTGGATACGTATTGCAACTCTGTGATGCCGCCAGCAGTACTGAAGAACCACAATAAGAAGTGTGCATGGGTGGTAAACGTGCGAAACGTATCAAATACAAATATTCCCTGAGAACTGAGGTTGATACAACGC